TAACATTTGTTTATACTGTGCTGAATACATAAAATTACTCATGAATACAATATAAGAACAAAATCATATTTATTTACATGCATATTCCCCTACCAGCTAACCTCTGCACATCTAACATGTGCAGTGCATTCAGATGCACAGATTAGCTTCGTAGTGCGGTCGTATACCTGCCAACAGTCCCTCTTTCGGAGGCACAGTCCCTCGCTATAAACCTTTTGCAGTTTCTAGGGGCTAAGTTTTATTTTTTTAGGTGCCTGAGATAAGAACTATTCTCCACAGTGTGTAACTTCTCCAGTCACAGTTATATTTTTTACTTATAATGAATAGTTTTAGAAATTAGATTTTATGAATAGTTTAACCCCACGCTATATTTAGCGCTTTCAATTATATACATCACAATGAATAATAAAAGCATTTACTTATTTTCCATAAAAGCAGAAGGAAATGAAAGCAGATATTTTTGGGGGGACGGGAGTTGCTTTTCAGACCAAAACAATCAGACGTCTGTGATGCCTGTAGGTGCAAAATGTATTTCTAGAGATATCTAAACAACAAGTTGTGACCCATATAGAGTTTAATATAGATTATATAGAATATAGATTATTGAACAACACACAGATTTTATTACCTAATGTTACAAAGTTATATAGTAATATAGGCTGACAAAAGACTCAAGTTCATCAAGTTCAGCCATTTACATATTTTTAATTAATGCTGCTGTTCCACAAGAAGGAGAAAAAACTCTATTTAAGCCATTTTTAATAAAATGGGTGTGTGGGGTGATCATTCTCAACTTTAAAGTGTCAGTTCTCTGACTATATAGAACTATTTCCTCTGCTACAAGTGTTGCACATACACTGATCAGCCACACATTAAATCCAGGTGATGTGAATAACATTGATTATAGCGTTACAATTGCAGTTGCCAAGGGTGGGGAATATTTTAGGCAGCAAATGGCAAGTGAACAGTTAGTTCTTGAATTTCATGTGTTGGAAGCAAAAAAAAATAGGCAAGTGAAAAGCTCTGAGTGACTTTGACAAGGGCCAAATAGTGATGGCTAGACGACTTGGTCAGAGCCGACTGAGGCATTTGTTCATGAATTGTTTGATGACTAGATGAAAGTCAGAACATCTCCAAAACAGCAAGTCTTGTGGGGAGCTCTCAGTAGGAAGTGGTTAGTACCTACCAAAAGTGGTGCAAGCAAGGACACCGGTGAACTAGCATCAGGGTCATGTGTGACAAAGGTTCATTGATGCATGTGCAGAGTAATGGCTAGCCCATCTGGACCGATTACAGAAGAGCTACTGTAGCTCAAATTGCTGAAAAACTTAATGCTGGCCATGATAGTGTCAGGGGTGGCGGTCCGGTGCCCAGGATCCAGACACTGTCCAGGTGGCGGTGCAAGGACCGGGACCCAGTATGTCTGATAATCAGAGTAGGAGTCACAGTGTGGAGGAGCATTAGCAGGGTCTGGTGCAAGGTAACCGCACGACCCCTGGTGTTGAGCACCAGCGTTTGTGCAGCCACATACCAGAACCTTGATGCAGCTTATGCAGATCCCAGGAACTAGGAGCAGGAAATAAGCAGACCTCCCAGGAGCTGAATAGGGAGGCTCTGCAGCAGGTTTGTATCCAGTACAGAAACAAGGCAAGACTAAAGATAGGCACCATACATGAAAACAAGACAAAACTAGGAGAACCCAGAA